CAGACCATTATGACTGTTGTCATAAGTTTCCCCTTGATACTTGTGCATTTAACTTTTTTGAAAATTATTTAGGGAGTAAAATTGTATACAACAGACAGCCAGAAAGAAAGTTTAGAAAGAACGAGGGGATAGGAACTAAAGGGAGCATTAAAGAGATTGAGATGGGAAAGAGTGCATGGAAAGAGAGAAAATAAAACAGAAAATAAAGCCACAGAAGATATATAGTAATTCCCAGATGTCTGATTCCATAACTCCCATTTAAACTGCTTGGCCCTAGTCATCAGTGCCAGATTATTCTTTAGCTTTTGGTGTGAGTCTCTTTCTAGCTTAACTTATTGTGTTCTGATTGCCTGATCCTGACCAGTTTCTTTGAGCTTGCTTGCCCCTGTTCTGATCTGTTTGCCTGACCTGTCTTCGGTTTATGTTGGATTCTACTGTTGGCAGAACCTGGATCTTACTCTTGACTTCCCCCTCTGGATTATCCTGCCCTCCTCTGTCATCTGCTTTGTTCTGATCTCCAGTAAGTTCTGTGTCCTTCAAGGAATCGGTACCTGGAACTGTCAGTGCCACAAGCGCTGTCTTGTCAGCTCACTGGATGGTATCAACCTTGTTCTCAGGGTATGGACTGAACTCTAAACCAGGTTAGTGACTCACGTGTTCAGATCATCCTCTGTCAGGTTTTCGTGGTCACTAACCTGTGTTTCCTCTTGCCAGAGTTGCCTGCCTTGGATGCCCTAGCCGATGCTGTTGCAGATTCACAAACTATTCGTCATTGCCTCATTGCTTTTGAATTCCACTTTTTGTCTTGCCTGAATACTGGGAACTCTGTTCTGAATCATTTCAAAGGCACAGCCCAGGCAGCCACCAGGAAAGCTATACCACACACTAGAAGTACCCAACCTTGTGCCTAGAGTACCATCAGCACGCCAGCAGACAAAGGAACGTGACTGGTTGGGAGCAGAAAAAGAGGGGGAGGAGGCAGTGGTTGGGGCGGACTTTATGGGAGACAAATACTCCAACAAAAGCAAGAGGGCAAAGACGATTACAGAAAGGTTGGTTGAATCTATTGCTGTTGACAAACAGCCCATCCCAGTAGTTGAGAGTGTCGAATTTAGACGTCTGCTGGAGGTTTTGGATCCACGCAACACTCTGCCCTAGAGACACTACATCGCCGACACAGCCATACCACGGCTATACAGCAAAGTTGGAGAAAAAATACAAAGTCAGTTAAATCTGAATGTTGTTGTTAGTTTCACTTCTGATATTTGGAGTGTGCGCATTTGCCCGATGTCCCTACTGCAGTGTTTTTCAATCCTGGTCCTCAAGGCACCCTGCCCTGCATGTTTTTAGATGTTTCCCAGCTTTCACACACCTGTTATCAATTGATAGCAGATTATCAGGCTTTGCTGAACTTTTTTTTTTTTTTACTTCTGTATGAAATATAAAAATGACGCTGACCTTTAATTCTCTGTGAGATTTAGATTTCATGGGAGTTACAATAATAATTCACAATGGTAATGCTTATTGATACAATTTTTGGTCTTAAAAAAGTTGAGTTAATTGCTCAAAATTTATTTTAGTTTCACTTTATTACTAAAGGCAAAGTATTGGATCAGGACTCGAAACTGGATTGGATTTGAGGTAAACAGATCAGATCGGGATCAGAGGCCGAAATTGCTGACTCTACATGAGATTTTATATCTTTTTTTCTGTTCCTAATAGCATTTTTTTTAAAATGTATCTATAAAAAGGAAACATCATAGTTTTGAAAAAAAAGTTAGTTAATAATAATAATACGGTAATAATAATTTAATAGAAATAAAAATAAGAAAAAGTGTTAAAGATTTTTGGTGTCCACAGCATGAAAAAGTTCAGTAAGTGAGTTTTGAGACCACCGTGTCACAAGAAAAACCTCAAAAACAAATCACCTTAGCAAAGGACGTTTTCCAGCCGGATTTAATTTGTGCAACCAAGTCTAGAGCCAATCGTTTTTTTAAGCAAGAGTCTTTTTCCAGCTTCCACCTGACACCACCTGGTGAGAAAACATGTTTTTTATCGCCATATATCATGATTAAAACCTTGATAGTCTTCCTCACCTGATGTATAGTGGGAGAAAACTGCAAAAAAAAAAAAACATAATTTAAGCAGCATGACTTATTAAAATGCATCCTGCATGAAAAGAAAAAAAAACCCTGACTATTAATGCACGCCATTATAATTTAAAGCCTCCCTTTGTAGTGTGTTTCATCAGCGCCGGGTGTGATGAAATGATCGTGACACTCGATTAGACATTAATGTGGAAA